CCATATTCTGGTTTGCTTTCAAATAATCGAATTAGATTTTAAAATGTATCTTTCGTTTCGTTCAAAACTTTTTTCTGTACTAAATCACAGGTAATCGAAAATATTTAAATATCTAAATATTTCATCTGTAGTACAAAATTTCGCTAACACTGCCGCGAATAGATCAAGAAATATCAAGGAGGTTACCTACATCTCCATCTGCCCGGGAATAGATCAAGCAATAATGTCGATAATTCTGTCCTGGAACAACTTTTTGTCACTCCACATAAATTGAATGGTAGTATTTTTCTAGATAAACCCATGAATGTGAATTTTTGAGATACACCTATCTTCCGTTATAACAATTTATCTAAAATTGCAGAGCCATTTGAATTGATTTACAAAATAGTATATAACTAGAGAGAACAACCGTTTCGTCTGCAACTGCGGCAGACGTCCTTGCTTTCAACGCATATACCACTGAGGATGTCTGCTTCAGTAGTAGACGAAACTTTTGGCACAACAAATTCCATTCGATCACGTCCTGCCAGCTCAAATTTTCCCTTTATTCGTGCCGTGAAAGCCAAAGTTCCTAAATATCGAATGATTTCTTGGAAGAGTCTCTTATGGTCGAATTAATTTATGATGTCCAAACATTAACCTCGAACACTGAACAAACAATATTGTCAGCCACATTCAAATAACAAACTAATTATTGTTATTCTTTAGAGGCGAATATGTTTCGGTGATACGAACGAGTATTAGAAGGAATTGACACGAGTTGATTAATTGATCTAATCAGATGAGTTTTGAAGCAGAAATCATCATAGATCAGATCAATGTTCAATATTTGAATAATCATACTAGATATTTGTTTGTGAATAATGGTTACTCGCTTGATTTTCGTAGTAATATTGATATTGTCACTGTTTTTCGAGTTTGAGAGCCGTGGATTTTTGGAATTTCTTTCTGACGTTTCGCTGGTGCGAGTGGCTAGCTTCTTCAGATATTTTACCATCATGGATTGCTGTCCATGATGCTGGCCATGATGGTTAAACCTCTGAAGAAGCTAGCCACTCGCGCTAGCGAAACGTCAGGAAGAAATTCAAAAAATCCACGGCTTTCAGTGGATTAAAAACAATAAAAACCTCAGCCGTGAAAGTCTAAACCATTTTGTTAATATTGATATGTTTGAATACTTTGTTCGATCCACAGAAGTTCTAATAGCAAAACGAAATCTGGACAAATAACATACTTTTGATGGGCTGAAAATGAGAAGCGCGGCAGCTTAATATACAGGGGAATACCTTGTACCCGGTTAAGTACCTCCACCAAATATGAGCCCCATATATGAGGCCGCCTGTGAAGGATAAAGGATCAGATTAGTAAAAAAAATTGATCATCAGAAATTCTCGAGCGCGTCAGATTAAGGTAGGGTGAGTTAATTACCTGCTAAACAGTGTATATTCCAGTAATCTGACAATTTGAGAGTGACGTAGAGAAAGGGGAGGCAGCAAAGTTGTAAAAAAATAACGTCATTTCGACATTCTCGAGCGTAGCTAATTTTTTTTTTGAAGGAAATAATTCAAGGATAACGAAAAATATATAATCTGACGATTTCCGCAAGCCGAAATAACAAAAATTCGTCGATAAAGTTTAATGCGTGCAGCTGTGTGATACCTATATTGTTGCCTTTTTCTGAACTTTGAAGGGCCGTAACTTTGTAAATAAGGGAGAGCTCCGCTTTTTTCTTTCGGATTCGTAATATACGCATCAAAATACGTAAGTACACCCAAATATTTTTTCAAAATCGCCGGGTGCCCTCAAAACGAATATTTATCGCGAATTTTATTTTTATTTCGTGTCAGATTTTCAGGTAGAAAATAAAAAAAAATCACCCAAAACAGGCTATATTCCACCGTGACACTATTTTCCGTTACAATACGAAACAGTGGAGCACTTTGCACGTACAAGCAAGGAAACCTGACGCAAATAGATCGCAAACAACTGATATCCTGCCATAGTTTACCTTCCCATTAGTATTCTGGTCTTTGGCGGTCATTTTCGCACTTGCCATTGCACTCACTACAAACACATAACGATCAATCTCAAGAGAAATAGAACATGAACGATTGTGGTGCACTCGCAACTTTCACAAAAATAAACGGATGCAGTTATTAGCACTTTTTCTGCAACATGCCTTATGGTGGCCGGAGAAGCTTTGCGAGGCGAGCGACTGCAAGACTTCAAACTTGCCGGTCCCGGTGGTTTCCCTCCTACTTGTTATCGACATGCTTGCTTAGAATGGATTGTTCATTGCCAGTACACGATAATTACCAAAAATGTTTTTAAAAAATTAGCAACTTTCTTGTTTACAAGTTGCTGTAGATAACAAAACTATTTTGGTAAATAGAAGTTCCCACGTTCACTGTGGGTAGAAAAAAAAATCCAGGTAAAGCATTGTTGAGGATTTTGATGAATTATTCTTTATTTAGCATTCCCAAGACCATTTCTGGTTGTCAATATTGTGAAACTAGTTTTGCGAACGTTTCACTATCACTGTCGTCATTTAAATCAATTTATTTTCACCATTACTATGGAAGTGTCAGGTCTCCATATAGTTTTTTTCAACTAAAATTACTTCAGTAATATCAGATACTTCTTCTTTAATTAGCACTTTTACCCTCTTATCAAATTTTGGAAAACTATTTTTACGCCTGATGATTTGTTTCAATTTTCCCCAAATCAACTCGATGATTGAAAACACAAAAATAGGGGGAAGTCTCAGTATGGTGTGTCCATACTTTTCAGCAATACTCTCAACGGCATACACTTTTTGTCTGTAAAACTTCAAGTAGTTGGTTTTTGGTATAGTAAATCTTCAAAATACACATTGTTATCTATTGAAAAACTTTGTATTCCATCTTTCCTCGAATTTTTATTCGATACTTTGATGAGCTGTCACGAATGATAGGAAGCGTTGTCAAGAACTATTACACTATTGGCATCCAAATTTGGGATCAATGTGTTTCCAAACCATTTCTCGAAAGTATTAGCTTCCATGTTCTTATGATTGTATACATTGCAATCCTCAAGTTTTTTTCCACATAATTTCAAAGAATTCGGAACCCATCCTTTACTTCCTCCGCAATACACAATGATTAATCGCGATCCTCTGTTTGCAGGCATGTTAGGCGTACACATTCTCGAACCATCAGTCCACCCTTCGTAACTGTGTCGTGAGTGTCATACTAAGTTTCGTCCAAATAGAAAATTTGCCGTTGTTCTTGTCTATATTTAGTTATTTGTTCTAAGTATTTGTTACTCCACTATTCTTCTGCTTCCCATAACTGCTTGACGTTTGTTTATTATTTAAATCTAAATCCTAGTTTTTTTATCCAATTCTGAAAAGTTTTGTCACAGCAGCTCACGTTATGGCCGGAAGCATTCAATTTCTTCCTTATGATTTCAGTTTTAGGAATCTCATTGCTTTTGTAACAGTCGTATATTCTTTTTTTCAATGATTTTGTCAGATGAACATCTAAAGGTTTTGGTAATCCTGTATCACATCGCGTCTTGCGTTCATAAGGTTTGTTTTTGACTATTTTACGTACAGTTGAGAAAAGAATTTCGATCAAATCAGATGTTGCTTGTAACAGTTGGTTTTCCTCGAAACCAAACTTGAGATGTAGATTCTTAAATAGGCACATTGAAACATACTCTCTGTGTTTCAATATTCAAATGCATCCGAATCTTATTCGCTGTTATCTCTTTTTTGTATTGTTCACCATCGTCATTGGAATCACTACACTGGAAAAAGTCTGCGTTGTTATCACATTCGTCATTACCATTAGTAATTGTCCAAGGACGCCACATTTTAAACAGATAACAAAAATTCCAAGTAATTATAACTGCACCAACATCGAATTTCAACACTCAAATCACGATCAGTTCCTAAACGGAACACGACGGTGATAACCATCGCCGCATTCCCCGATTTCAATTCGTCACCGTAACATTATTATCCAATACGAACCGCCAAGTCTACGTGGATTAGTTAGGCGGTTGACAGTGAACGATTTCCTAATGGTAATGTGCCTGAAAGAAAAACCTTCCAAAGTATACATCAACGACTTCGTGAAACAGGATCATTGAAGTGAAATAGAGGACCAGGAAGGCCAATGACAGTAAGAACGGTAGAATTACAAGAGAATGTACTGGCCATGATAGCAGAAGATCCAGGTAACTGTACTCGAAAAACTGCAAATATTTTAAATGTAAGTAAAGGAACGATTTGAAACATTCTTAGAGACTATTTGTTGTACCCATACGAGTTCAGGCACCTCTTCCTGCAGATCTTCTTCCACGTATTGCATTCTGCTAATGGCTTTTGTGCACATTGGTTCAAAACCCTCAACTACAGACGCTTATTCTTTTCACCGATAAAGCCTGTTTCTCAAGAAATTCCATAAGGAATTTCCACAATAACCATGTTTGGACTGACGAAAATCCACATGAGGTGCTTGAAGATCTCTTTCTCGTTAAACATATGGGTGGGAGTTGTAAGTGACTTCCTAATTGGACCGGTAATACTGCCAGGAAGACTTATCGGCGAGGTATACCGCAACTTTTTGGAACAAACGCCACCTCAATTTCTGGAGGATGTACCATTGGTTACAAGAAATGAAATGTGGTTTATGCACGATGGTGCACCAGCGCATTATAACATATTAGCTTGAGAGTTTTCAACAGTAACATACGGAGATCGCTGGATTGGTCGGACCTCACTTATGGCCTGCTCGATCACCGGACTCAAACCCTCTGGATTATTTCCTATGCGGCCACCTAAGTTCATTAGTTTATGATACTACAGTGGAAGATTTGAGAAATCGGATAATTGTAACGCAATCAGAATCGATCTTGGTGTCTTTGAAAGAGTTGGGGTGTCGATGAGGAGACGATTGGATTCTTACATCCGAGCGGGTAGTAGTCATTTTTAACAGTTCTTGTAGATTAAAAACACTCTTGAAAAACACTCTCAGATCTGCAGAGGAATCCTCTCTCTCTTTCTTTGAAATCATATATTGCTCAATTGTTAGATCAATAATCGAATACAACTCCACAATGTGGGGCCCTTCATATAATTTGAATATTGATATGCTTGAAAGTTTTGAAACACGTTTTTAAGTTACTTTGCATACAAACTGGGATATTATATTGGTGAAAATATAACTATAAAATTATATTGGACATTTTTTTGACTTGAACACTCTGGGTCATAAGAGATTAGAATATAATTTTCTACTAATTCACAAAATAATCAATGGTAACATTTAATTTTCCGGAACTTGTTGAATTTATAACTTTGAATGTGAATTCAAAGAGAACAAGAAACATGGAAATCTTCAAAATAGCCTTTCATCATACCAACTATGGCCAGTACGAGTATATAGGTAGAGTTTTGAGACTTGCAAACACTTACAATGAGCATTTAAATATTTTTGATTTATTTGGATTCATTTAAAAAGACTGTGAAAAAATTGTAAATGATTGGCTTATTTTTGCCTTTCTTTTTTCATATATATGTTACGGGCAACGTGATTAACTGGGCATTATTAATAAGGACCGGCCATTATTAATAATGCCCAAGAGCGATGAACAAAATCATTAATTTATCACTTTGACCGGCCATTATCAATAATGAATAATTATCTACTTGTAGCCGGGCAATGTGATAAATTGGACCGCGGCCTTGGCTTGCAACATACGACATGGACAAGAGCCATTAAAACCATTAAAAACAATAAGGACAAAACTTTGGTGTCGGATAGATCAGGAGTATATAAGCTGACTTGTGGCTCTTGTCCAAAACTGTATATTGGCCAAACAGGAAGAACATTTTTCCAACNTTTTTTTTCATTTCATTTATATTTTTAAACTATTGTTCTTAAGTAATATTTTTATCAAAATAAAAGTACGTAACTACTGATGTTATTACATTTTTAGCTATTTATTTTTCAACTACTATGTTCAATAGTTTATTTTTTGTTAACTTTTCATGAAAATTTTGTAAGTTTTTTTTCATTTAATAAACAAAAACACTACAGTTCACCTATTTTATTACTTTGCCTAAGTTAGGGTGGGCATTATTCATAATGGCCGGGAAAAGTGATTATTCATGCTGTTTTAATCACATTGCCCAATTGAGTCGGGCATTATGAATACAGACCGGCTATTATTAATAGTGCCCGGACTTATCAAAATGTCCGTAACATATACTTTTTCCTCACATCTAGCTAATAGTTATAGTAGGTACATATGTGTCAATTAGTTAATCATATTGTGAAAATAGGCAGTGACGTAAATAAATAAATAAAAGAAAATAATATGAGACCCACTACAGAGCCTTGAGGAACTCCTATTATGGCCTGTTTCTTCTCTGAGAATTGATGTCAAAATTTTCTGTTTTATATGTCTGCTTTATATGTTCTTTTCACAAAATGCTAATAATTATAATCTGTGGCAAATAAAATATACCCACAGCGTTTAAATATTATGGAGAAACAGAAAGACACTGTAATAAGTTTTCAAGAGCCTCCTATACTTTTGAATATAAATTATTGTGAATTTCAATTGATAAAATCGCCCAAGCTGATTACTTCCGAACCGCCATTTAATCGCTCAGATTTCTGCTTTCAGAGACTGAATCAAAGCAAATTTAATATCAATTATTAGATTAGGTATATCGAGCGGCATTAGAAACTCTCGGTTTATGCTTTCTGAGTCGGATAAGTAGGTGAAGACATCGTATAGCGAGTTGGTCACTTTCTATAAACATTATAAAAAATAATGTCAGCGCACTTTACATTGCAGGCCGTTATTCCATTGTTTTTTTTGATTCGTTACGTTAATTCATCGCGAGCTATAGTAATTAGGGGGCGGAAACTGTTTTTGCTGCGATTTCACGTTTCCTACGGAAATTATACAGGGCTAGTCGAACAGAATAGAGTAGAATGTAATTAATTCGACATTAAAAATTTCACTATTACAAAGACACTTGCAAAATTTTTTTCAGACAGCTTTTGGTTAGTATTCAGGTACTAGGTTAAATATGAAATACAGACATACATTTCAACAAGTCTGAATAGGTGGTAACAGGTTTGAACTCAATGGGAGAAAAAAATAATTAAAATGGAATTATTAAAAATACCTGAAGACAATTTCAGATACCAAAAATCGAAACGTTGTGAAGTAAAATGGTTTGAAATCTTTCTCATTTTTTTATTTTGTATTTTTTGCTTTTTTATTATTTATCTACATTATTTCAATTCATTTTACTTTTGTTTGACAATTAACTCATTTTTACATTATTTCTATATTAACTGACTCATTCTAATATTTCTGTCAGGTTTTNTCTAAGTTTTGTAGGGAATTTTTTATATTAAAAAAATAGTTGGTATGAATGTTGTATTGTTAAACAGTATTCAGATAACATTAAATGTTTGAATTTTCGAAATACATAGCAGTTAGGTCCCACAATCAACAAGATGGTAAAGAAGCGTCGATACAACCTATTTTTCACTGTTTACAGTATTTAGTTCTCGGTGTACAGGTGAAAATAAACAAAGGTGTTTTCTCACAATTTTATCGACATCATTCTCGGTAAAAAACATTGCCTGCGAGTTATTGGATTCTGCAGCACCTGAACCTGGAACGGTAGCTAGTAGGGTTGGCGTGAGTACTTCATTCTATCGATCGCTATGTGAAACGTTGATTTGAGCCCTACGGCCAGACGATGGACTCTCGCTGCTTATCGTCCAATCCGTGCTAGGAATTGTACTTTCGAAGATAAGACCTCGTTAATCCTTAGCTCGAACAAGTTTCGACTTTTGAGGATTGTCGTTCGTAGGGAGGACAATTGGTTGATGGAAAATAGGCACAGCTTGATAATCACTTCGGAAAATAATCCTAAACGACTTTTGTAATTCAATATAAATTAAAAGGGATTTTTAAGTCACATGATGATGATCGTGACAAAATTTTACAATGATGACTGCTACAACTCGAATCCACTCTTTCAAAAATCGGAACCTTCTCCTCGCCAAAATAACAATTTTAAAATCTCCATTTCAAGCCAACCCAGTGAAAACGCAGCGAACCTCTTATCTGGAGTGGTTTCAATTGGTCTGTTCAAAGTAGCATGTTACAAGTTGTGGAAATCAAAGGGCTTGTTACTGATAATACAATAACAAGAAAACACATTATGTGGGTGTTAACAGTTTTATTAACATAGAAAAATACATCGGTGATAAACAAAGCCTAAGTATAGGATGTGAAGCAAAATCAGACTTTCCCCTTTCTTAGCAGCCTTCAAATTTTATTTAAAAAACTTTCCTCCAACGAAGGATAAACAGTCAATTCCAAATCAAGCCTGAAACATACAAATTAGTACCACTCTTATGGTATTATTATAGCGTTTTACTTTTTAAAACCGGCAGCAATCTCCTCCGACTTAGCAGGATCGGTTACCACAGCAGTCTTCACCTTCTTAGGATCAAATAGCGGAGCCACATACTTCTCTCCAACTCTATTCAGATCCTCAATAGTTACTTTATCTATCGACTCCAAAAGAGCCCTTGAAAACATCAATAAGTCACAGAACATTTCATTCAAATCATCGTCTCGACTCACCTGTTGAACTTATAATCGACCCCATCGAAATATGACGTGAAAGACAGAGTAACCACACTTCCAATGGTCTTCTCTTCGTCTATTATTTCGAAAATAATAGAACTCCTCGCGGATTCCAGCAGAGTTTTGTCCCATTCCTTAAGCTTCAACTGTTTTGAGATTATGTCTTTGGTTTCCTTGTAAGCTCCAACGACATTAGTTGCCTTAGAGAAAATCAAGTACAGTAAGCCTTCGCTGACTTTAGTTACCATTGTGTAGCCGTACGAATACCCTTTGCCCCTTATTTGCTTCCACATAGGACCCTGGAACACCAGTAACGTTAAACTAAATGGTTTGTGATTTAACGACGATTTTCAGCTAGTTTTTAGGTATCTACATATGGTGTCAGGTGTGGGGTCCGGAGTGGAGTCAGGAGTGGGATGGTGTTGTTTCAAAATGATGTATGAAATAAGTATAGAATAAGTGTTTCATTAGTTGCTTATTTTCGTCCTTTTTTTTTGGATGTTTTCAAAACTTTTTGTTTAATGGTGGAGAAGTAGAAAGCCAAAAATCTAATCCCTCCCAAAAATATTCCCTTTTCAATTTAAAACGAGTACATATACTAATAACTGACATTCTTCTTACCTCTGCCTGAATGAGGTACTGCAAGTAAAGCATTAAGGCTGGTAAATCCGGATCAGTGTAGGAGGAAATGCTTTTTGTGGTCTGAATAAAGAACGAAGACTCCAAACAGCCCATACCGATGATGCACCCATTCTCAGAGTCATCTAAGTCTTTCATAAGTTTGTAGTCCGGGGTAACTTTCAGTCTGAAAACGGTGAAAGAAATCGAAATAGTTATATACATTTAATGTACACGAGGTCATACTTCTGCTGTTTCTCGGTCACTTCAATTTCTGGAGGAAGGAAAGCTTCTAGAGGTTTAGAGGTGTTTGACAGAATGTCCAAGTTACCAGCAATGTATAGGACCAAGTTTGAGGGGCTGGTTATGATTTTCCTTACTTTCTCTATGTCTGCCACAATGTCTTTAGAACCTTCGCCGTCTAACTTCCTGATAACTTCGGTTAAAAATTTGCTTTGTTGCAAAACTCCATTTTTCATGATATTGCTATCTGGAATATTGATATATTATGAATATATTAGACCTCTTTTCTTATATATTTAGAAGCACCCAAAGCTATTTTAAATATACAGTGTGGTCCACTAAGTGGAAAAATTTTATTCTTGACAAAAGTTGGTGCATGTTGCAAAACTATACCAAGTGTACCTGAAATGGCTTTATGACAAACACCATACAGGATAGTCCAAAAAATATAAAGTTCGTTCAAGAGTAAAGTACCGTTATTTCAAACAGTATAGAAATATGTTGAAGAGAAAAGTTGCTTAGAATTAAAAGTTATGTTCAGATACGAAGTCATGGCCTGCTATTCGATTTTTTTTTCGTTTAGAAAATTTTGAATTACCCCCGTAACTTCATGTTTGTTGCAACGATATTTAACAGAACTCTAGAAAAAACAAATACTCTTTTTAACGAGGCAAATACTTTACTAAGTATAATGTTCATATGAATAAACTGTCAAAATCTATTGCGGATAGCCATGAACAAAAAAGAACCAATAAGCGATAGTACAGAAAAATACAGTATGTAACTTAACAACTTAACAGGTGCTCACAATAAAAATTATCGAAGCGTCTCCGTATGTCCACCTTCTCTTTCGATGCATCTAATTGTTCGCTCATAAAATTCGTTTAATGTAGATCGCAACACATTAGCGGGAATATTTCTGCAATGAACTCGTATTGCAGTTTCAAGCTCATCAACATTATTAAAGGGGCGATCTCTGTAGACTTTTTATTTCAAGTATCCCCATAAGAAATAATCTAGAGGTGTGAGGTCTGGAGAACGAGGAGGCCATCGAGGATCGGTATTTCGTCCTAACCATTTATTAAGAAATGTCCTATTCAGCCACTGAGAAACATTTCTAGTAGAATGGGCAGGTCATCCGTCATGTTGGAACCATAACTTTTGCCGTTCTTCTAATACCATATCATCCAAAAACTCTCCTGTTTCAGTTTCCAAAAAGTTCAAGTACCTGTCACCATTCAAATTCTCGCCAAAAAAAAAACGGACCTAGTAATTTATCATTTAATATACCAAACCAAACGTTTGTTTTCTGATAGTTTTGATTTTTGTTGTCAATAATAAAATTTGGGTTGACATCTGATCACCATCTGCAATTTTGTGGTGATAGAACCCCATTTGTTGTAAAAGTAGATTCATCTCCAAACCAGAATACATCGTTGAAAATTTCGTTGTTCTTCTATTTCACTCTGAATCCACATGGAAAGATTTGTAAGCATGGTATTTATGTTTCTTGAGAATACGCTTCACAGAGGATTTTTTATGCCGGTATAATCACTGATTTCTTGGGTGGTCCTTCTAGGATTTTCTACTACTGCTTGAAGTACGTCAAGCTGGTTTTCTTCTGTGTATACAGGTTTCGTACGCTCTGTATTATGTTTATATTCTAGTGAGCTGTCTGTTTGAAATTCTTTAAAATTCTACTTACACTGGAATAGCAAATTTGTTTGTATGGATGCCGCTCGTTGAAAATATTTGCAGCTTCGCGCATTGTTTTATAACCATCACCACAGATTAAAACTAATTCTGCCTTTTCAGTTAACGTTAATAATACTGGGCGAGGCATTTTTAATTAAGGACAAAAATCAAAACGTTTTACAGGCGAGTTTTAAGAAGCTACACTATCAAACTTCAGTAATGTTTTAGGGCGTATGTGTTTTTTGTTCATGTTTATCCGCGATAGATTTTGGATTGTTTTTTAATAATATCTGTTCTAGTTGAGGCATTGTTGTCAGAATAAAAGAAATTTTATACTTTTATTGACAGTTTATTCATATGAACATTTAGTTAGTAAAGTATTTGCCTCGTTAAAAAGAGTATTTGTTTTATTCTAGAGTTCTGTTAAATATCATTGCAACAAACATGAAGTTTGCGGTCACCTAAAATAATACAAATTCAAGTAAATTTTACAAATACACTTTAATTTGATAAAAAATACTCCAAACTGATTTGATTGTGGCTACTTCATATTAAATCAAAATAGTAAAAATACACACATCAGAAAAGTCTAGGGATATTTTTATAACATACTAAATATCATAAAAATAAATGCATGAGGTCGTTTAATTTCGATTAAATTGGTACACTCGACCACCCTGTAGATTTCTATGGGTTGAACAAAGCCTGCAAAAACGGTAACTAATCTTTTATCAAGTTTTTTACAATTCGTATCTGAACATAACTTTTAATTCTAAGCAACTTTTTTTTTCAACATATTTCTAAAATTTTTGTTATAAGGGTACTTTACTCTTGAACGAACTTTATATTTTTTGGCCTATCCTGTATGGTGTTTGTCATAAAGCCATTTCAGGTACACTTGGTATAGTTTTGGAACATGCACCAACTTTGTTTTCTGAAAAGTGAGTTCAAAATCTGAATATTATAGTCAAATCAGATCATAAATGTCAACTTAGGATGGACGAAGAAATGCAAAAAGACTATTTTTGATGCATATTTATCTGACCACTTAGATTTCATGAATTGGCAATTATTCTGGCCTTGCCTTGGCCTTTATAACCTTTAAAATCAAGCACTTCAAATAAAGACATTCCATCACTTAAATTTTCAACAGGGACAGCAAGCAACCGGACATATAAATATCTCACCTTCCGAATACCTCATTCCCTTCATGGCATAAGAAACGACGCTTCGTCCATTACGCTTGTACTGTGACACGGTGTTGTTCAGCTTCATCGCAATCACCTTCAACCGCTCCGCCGTGAAGATCGTCTTGTACAGCAGCTCCTTCAACCACCTCAGTCCGATTTCGTATTTGGCCGCCTCCACTTGGAGGATTACGGTGGCAGTCGTCGAATAGTTGCCGCAAGAGAAAAAGTTGCTCCTCTGCAGACCGATAGAGGTGGAGCTGTTGACGGTATCGTCGTTTAACTGTGCGACGACGGCTTCGTATGGGATTATCTGTCCATCGCGTTCGAGGGGGAGTTCCAGAAGGGATTCCAGAAGCAACGGGAGGTAGGTCCTCAGTTCGGAGGGGATGCTGGACGTGTCCAGCACGGCGAACATCTAGATATTTGATTGATGTACATATTTATTATCCATAAGACACTTAATAATAATAATACAGCAGCACTCCAATTATCTCGTCCACTCTCAAGGAAAACAAATTTGGTTTGGATTCTCCAGCCAAAATTATGTTGCTAATAATAATTTTTATACTGTGTATGTGTTTATGTGACGATCAAGTTCAACAATTCTACAGACCACAAACTTTCAAATATTCTGTTGGAGATTACTTATCCTTTTGAACAAGCTCACCACTGATCTGTGTCCACTAGACGAGAAAATAATACAAAAATACCCAAGAGTCAGAATTGCAACAGGAGCCATCTACCCTGGAAAAATATTTTTTTTTATAAGTCTGTAATTAGCTGTAATAGATAACGTTAACACGAGCATATAACATACATTGTTGTAGCAACCAGGATTCCTTCATTCACAATCGATGAAGTATTTACACGGATATAGTTGTTATGTGGTTTTCTTGATGTCGAAAAGACTGTCCTGTCCACTGGGGTTGGTGCTTGTTGTTCTTCTTGTCGAAAGCCTGGAGACTACCGCTGTTTGATTATCGGCGTTTTCCAAGATCCTACCGACTGCGCCAATTGTTTCACTGGTTTTCACTGAATTTATTTTTTTTAAAAAACTTTATTGAACACAAATTTGAATACAATAAAGAGATTTACAAATGTGATTCAAGATTCGATGAACATCGATAGTCGTGAAGTTAGTCAAGAATGCGGCGTCCTCTTGTTTTCCCATATTTATAGTATAAGGAACTGCTGATGAAGATCTGCGTTCCTTCGAATATTCTAGAAAAGCCTTGGAAATGTGCTGAATATGCTGAGTCGTTTCCTGGGTAGTGGCTGATGCAATACTTTATTATTATGTTTCGGCAAAGTCTCATTTGCCATCTTCTGGTGATAGTTTTTTCAGTATTTTTCATGATCTCAATATTTCACCCCCTTTTTACAAATTTACAATTTTTCCTGATTTCTAGTTCGTAAGCTGTATTTATGTTGACACAGGTAGCCTGCCTTTCTAGTTGGTGTGTTGTTATTGGCCGAAGTGTTATTACCTGTTACATTGCGTTGCACTGCTGCCACCTTAGCATCTTTGTCCAAAGTGTTATTACCTGTTACATTGCGTTGCACTGCTGCCACCTTAGCATCTTTGGCCAAAGTGTCATTACCTGTTACATTGCGTTGCACTGCTGCCACCTTAAAATCTTTGTCCAAAGTGTTATTACCTGTTAAATAGCGTTGCACTGCTGCCACCTTAGCATCTTTCAGTATGGGATTCCAAATCCAGTTAAGCGTTATCGCCTCTTCTATTATGTTCTAGTTTTCTGTATGTTTATGGATTTCTATGGCTTCCCGTACAAGCCGACTGTGGTAACCATGATCGGGTGCAAGTAGTTTCACATCTTCAAACAGTATCGTATGATCTCCGTTACTAAACGTGTGTTCCACTACTGCCGATCTTTCTGTTTCTGTTGTTCATTCAGCCTTGTGCCCATGGATCTTTTGGTGGCACCGATATAAACTCTTCCGCAGGTGCATGGTATACGCGCATATTTACATTTCCTACACCGTGAACGCTACTTGTTGCGCTGACGAGCTAGGAACTTCGTTCCTTAGATAGTGGATGCTACTTGAGTAAGCGATTTTGAATATACTGTCAATTTATCATTAGAACGAACATATGTTACACACTGTAAACTTTCAAGCAGAACAATGTGATTGTCCATATATGGAGCAGGGGACAAACTTTGTACGCAGTTTACAACAGTGGTGTGAATCTATAACATACCACTGATTTGAATTTCCAAGCCGAGTTGAGTTAGCAACATTAGCTTTAGCATTAGCTTTGGAGTCGACAATTTTTTTTAGGAATGAAGAAAAACATTGATTTAGTTAAAAATGCTAACAAAAAAACAATAATGAGTTTATTAATTTACATTAATCCTAAACAACTTCTATAATTTTGCTGAAGCGAATCAAGAAAAATTCATATTAGAACCCAAATGTAACCTCAATAAGAAAATCGAAACNATATATATGTACCATTATTTACTCTAATTTGATCAGATCCTGTGTTTATTTGTGTTTATACATCTGTAAGTGTTATTTTAACTATATTTTAACATACATCCATGTACGACAACTGACTTTGTCAACAAGAATTGTATTCTTTCGACAATAAAGCATATTCTGATTCTGAATAAATAACAAAACAACTGTTGTTTATGTGGTATTGAACTATAATTTATATTTTGCCTCAATAAACTCAACTTTATTTTGTTCAAACTTGCATTTGCTGTAACAATTCAAATTTAGGAACATTCCCCATTGAACTTATTTTTTCTATGAAATGAAAAACTTTGAAGAAACGTTTTTTGTGATGGTAAAAGTACTTTTTTCTGTAACTATCTTCTTGCAATTGTATTATTGATTTGTTACATTTTCAACTCAACAAACTCGGTTTGATGAAGCCAACTGCTTAGCCTTAAAAAAAACCTAAAATGGCGATTCCGCAGGCAAAAATGTTGGTTTTAGTGACATCGGTTGTTATAAATCCTTCTCTAAGATGCCGTGCAAACGTGAGGTATACTTTTTCTACCTCTCTTTATTCAAATTTATAGGATTATTGAGATACCTATATTTTTTCTCAGTGAAGACAGTTCCAGTTGCAAATCTGAGTATAGTTTCTATTAACAAATGCTACAAATACTATTTACAAATTGCTTTTCGAGTAGAGCATTGATGTATAGAGTAGAAAATTAAAATGGACAAAACCATTTGAAACAAGCTGATATCTATCTAGCTGTCAACATTATCAGCATAGAAGATGACTTACATATACAAAACTGGTCTTCAGGTGGTCGAAATACGTGAACACTGGAGTTTCCGACAAATCCAATCTGCTGTTCTTCCCCAAATCACTCCTGAACCTCTCGATATTATGGAACCTTATTGAACCAAAGCTGGGGATCGCCACTGAAGTCAGCATTTCCATAGGCGGTTCGCGATCATTGAATTCGATTGCTCTTTCCAATATTTCTCCCTTCTTCTGTAAACCCTCCTCAGTCAGCGACGATATCTGATTTTCTACTCTCTCCTTCTCCTCCTTAGCCATCTTTTGCTGTTCCTCCTTGCTGGGGACGCACTGAATCGCAACGTGTTCGTTTTCTACGAGGTACTTCCGAAGAATGTCCAGCCAAAATGACTGAGGCTCTTTAAGCAGTTTGGTCAAATCAGTGAGAGGGTTTATTCTTTGTTGCAACTGAAATTTATGAAACAGATTTTCATTACATTCAACTCAAAACAAAGTGAGCTGGAATGCAAAATTGCTCTTAAATAAGTCTGTAGATGTCTGTATATCTCAACCCATGGCTCATTTGCTGTGAAATATGTTTGAAATATCGTTTTAAAGTTTTGATTATCGTACTTTGTGCTTAGGCTCAACTCAAAGAAACATGCATGTTTATAGTAGTCAAAAAAAAAGTATTTCAAAACTATACAAGTATATACATATATAGCAACAAATATAAAGATAAATCATAACTGAAACTAAAAAAATAGCTGATTAAATATACTTTGAGAGTCTAAAAAATGATTCTCAACATCGTAGACATGATTACAGACATCAGAAAACAAATGAGTATTGTGTATACTTCAGCGCAACATGTGTTTCCCAGTACAATAGCATTTTCAGGCTTCACAATACTCTAGTTTTGTGAAGCCTGAAAATGCTATTGTACTGGGAAACACGTGTTGCGCTAGAGTTACACAATAGTCAGGCATCATAATACTCTAGTATTGTGTATACTCTAGCGCAACACGTGTTTCCCAGTACCATAGCATTTTCAGGCTTCACAATACTCTATTATTATGTATACTCTAGTTTCGTGTAATGTCACGCTTGAAGATACTATATATATCAAAACACGTGTCGAGCTAGAGTATACGCAATACTAGAGTATTGTGACGCCTGAGTATTCTGTATACTCTAGCACGACACGTGTTTCCCAGTACAATAGCATTTTCAGGCTTCACAATACTCTGGTATTATGTATACTCTAGTTTCGTGTAATGTCACGTTTGAAATGCTATTAGCTATTTATAGTTATATATCAAAACATGTGTCGCACTAGAGTATACACAATACTAGAGTATTGCGACGCCTGAGTATTGTGTATACTCTAGCGCATCACGTATTTCCCATTACAATAGCATTGTCAGGCGTCTCATTTTTCTAGTATTATGTATACACTAGTATTGTGTATTGTCAATAAGTTATAATGGACTTTCATCAAGTATCGGTTGCCTCCATCATATTAATTAATTCTTCTTACAGCTACCACTTACGTCCTGCTCAGTTGATCCGTACAGCATGTGCCCAATTATCATGAATGCGATCGTTTGATGAGGGCTGTTTTCGAGATTACTCAAACTCTCCAGTTTGAACTTGTTGATTATGCTACGTAACTGTTCCAGATCGATTGACTTATCCTCGAGAATTTTCTTCAAAATTTCCCTCAGCTTGGAACCCACCTCCGGCAATTTACCGATAGGAACATCTTCGAGAGCTATGTAAAGGCATGTCTCGGAGTTTTCGCTCACATTGTACGATACCTAAAATTTGAACTCGATACTTTAGAGAGGTGGAGTAGCCCTTGAAAATTTGATATGATAAAAGGTAAATTTTTTAAGGAAAAAATAATTGAAAAAAAAATTATTCAAATAAGATTTCAGGAAAAAATAATCACAGTAATATAGGAGTTTATGAAAATTAATTTTTGATATAGTTCATCAAAACTGACGATGATCAAGAATAACCACTAAATATCACGAAAAAATACTTGGAGTTTTGTGACTTAACCTCAACAATGTGAATGCATGAATTTGATCCACTCCCGATTAGGATGAGTTTCTGAAACTCATGATTCTCTTTTCAGTGTACCATATTATTATATCACATCATTTTCAGACACGGAATTCCTAGTGGTAATAATAAAATGTGAAACAATACCGAGTGTTCCATTTGAAATAACACGAAATATTGTTATTTCAAGATCAAATTTATCACAAACAATAAAGACAAACCAGCCAGTAACAACAATTTTGCAACGTGGCTTACAGAAAAAAATAAATATTAAAAACAAGACAGACATGGTCAATAACATCACTATTTTTCAAATTAATTTTGCAACGTGACTTACAGAAAAAATAAATATTTATAACTAGACAGATATGGCCAATAACATCATTGTTTTTTATGAATTTTGCAACGTGACTTACAGAATAAAAATAAATATTAAAAACAATAACATCAACTGTTTTTTATGAATTTTGCAACGTGACTTACGGAAAAATGAATATTGAAAGCAAGACAAATATAGCCAATAACATCACTGTTTTTTATGAATTTTATGAATTTTGCAACGTGACTTACAGAATAAAAATAAATATTAAAAGCAATAACATCAGTTTTTTTAAAATAATTTTGCAACGCGACTTACAAAAAAATAAATAATGAAAACAAGACAAATATGGCCAATAACATCACTGTTTTTTTAAAATGAATTTTGCAATGTGACTTACAGAAAAAAATAAATATTAAAAACTGGACAGATATGGCCAATAACATATCTGTTTTTTATGAATTTTGCAACGTGACTTACGGAAAAATAAATATTGAAAACAAGACAAATATAGCCAATAACATCACTGTTTTTTATGAATTTTATGAATTTTGCAACGTGACTTACAGAATAAAAATAAATATTAAAACAATAACATCAGTTTTTTTTTAATAATTTTGCAACGTGATTTACAGGAAAAATGAATATTGAAAACAAGACAAATATGGCCAATAACATCACTGTTTTTTATGCATTTTGCTACGTGACTTACAGAAAAAAAATTAATATTATAAACAAGACAGATATGGCCAATAACATCACCGTTTTTTCTTTCAACGAATTTTGCAACGCGACTTACAGAAAAAAAATACTAAAAACAAAACCGATATAGAGTATATAAGTCAACTTGTGGTTCTTGCCCAAAACTATATATTGGCCAAGCGGGGATATTTTTTTCCCAAAGAATTAAAGAGCATATTAGTAGTTTCTTTAATGGAAAGATCCACATTTGCAAACCATCTTTCAGCAGAAGGAAATGAGTTCAAGTATGACTATGATGTGTTATATTTAGAAGAGAGAAGTTTGGACTTAATCTTTTGGAGCACTTGGAAATGATTCTGAAAATTTACTTGCTGACCAAATGGAATTAAATTCTTTCCCTTTTGTCGAATCGGTTTCCTAATGTGGAAATTGCTAATCAGTTCATTATATGTACATTTAATGAATACGTGAAATTATTAGTCATTGAGTAGGAACAAGGACAAATAATTCAAATTCAAATATAGATATATAAAGCATTAATCATGTACAATTTATTCAGTACGTACACGTTTGAGGAAGATATTTAATCAACGACTTGAAGGCTTTTTTAAACAGTTATTAAACACACTTCAATTTCATCTTGTAATTTAAATAAGTCTACCACTAACAAAACCTGATCTGATTAAACGATATGCAAACATGTCACACTGTAGAAAAGTTAAAGCCTATCTATAAATGCATTTCAAACAGAAACATGTGAGTCCATTATTCTTTTCAATGTTGGTTGAACCAATATTGACTATTTCATAATATTACTCGACTTACTTTACTAGCGTAGGGATCCTCAATTTCCACCAGCGCTTTTGGCAGAGGAGATACAGAAAATTCCGTTAGATATTTCAGCAAAAGAATTGTGGCTGTGACTGAATATATATCTTTGACACAGGAAGCTCCTCTATAAGCAATGCAGTATAATCCGTTAGTTTCTTCATCTGTTGGATATTTTATCACCAATTCCTTTGAACCCTCAGTAAGTGGAGGGACTGGATTCTGCCATGGCCGTTCGAAAGGCTTTGCATTTCCCTAGATGACGTGTAATAGCAAATAACAACATTTGTTCTTAATAAAGTAATACAAGGTATCAATAATTGTATACAAGTATGTTGAGTTGGCAACAGTTCACCGTGTTGTATTGATATTGGACTTGTATTGGTTCACCCATTCCTCAGTTGACGTTCTACTAGTGCAGTTGGTCATTGAAAGATGTACCACAAAGCTACATCGTGTTTTATTAGCAATCAGCTAATAAACTAAAATTACATCGTCCGAAAGATATTACGTAGTCAAGCCTAATATCAATACATTGGTGCCAACTGCCAACTTAACGTACTTGAAACGAATATTGATAATTTTCATCCCTTCTCATGTTTTACAACTAGACTCCAGACATCATCAGAAGATGGCAAATGAGACATTGCCGAAACGTAATGAAAATAATCCTTATGAGGATAAAAAACATAGAACACGAAGCGAAACCCGAGAAAACTGATGATTATACTTTGTCAGTGAGAACAGATTTGCAACATACCCTGGAAACGATTTTCTCTTCCAACTTCTCCAGTGACTTGAATACTTCATGCGGACTTACTTGACCAGTAATTATTATTTTTAAATTTTCTGGCCTGTAGAATTCCTTGTGGTAATTTTTCACCTAAAATACATAATAATTCAACTTTTGAAATGAATATTTTGGAATTTTTGCTTACTTTGATATTACTTGTTGATTCTCTCAAATTCTTCATTATACCTCCTGTTTCGGAAGAGTACCCACATTTCCCTGGATAGATATTCCTAGCAATATTCAAGTGCATTCGGGATTCAGCAGAGTTCTCTCTACCCTGCATTTCGCAATAAACCACTCCTGCGTCAGTACCTTCCGAAGTTATGTGATGAACTTCGGTAATGAAACCTTCCTCCTTTGAATACAATTCTCAATTATTGGTCATTCTACGTCTTATTAACACACTTAACAAGCCTTACCAGTTCAGATTTTGATGAAACTCAACATCTCATGAACACACCTAATAAAGATATTGTAAAGCTAAACACAAACCGAGGCATATTGAAGCTTTTCAGTTTACCCTTCATTACACTCCAGCAGTTTCTCTATTGATTTAGCTTCATTTTTTAGATTTTGGAAGGTTATATACCCCAAAGACAGTACTATACTGTACTTGATAACAGGTTGACAAAAAAAACAAGTCTATATAAAATGTATGACTGTGCAAGATTTCATCAAAATCTGAGATGGTGAAGTTGAAATTTTCAACTCAGGTCCAATTCAAAAAGGAAGTGTTACTAAATGTATTAAGGTAAGAGTAAGCCCCTATAACTTACAGTGAGAACAGGGTACAAAATGTGTTCCAAGAATATAGGCATCAGGGTTAGGAATCCCTCGCTTCCAGCTGTCTCCATCGTGTAACAAGTATGGTCAATGTCAGTCCAAGCATTCGTACCAGATGCCAAGCATCGGTTGGCTAAAAGATCCAAAACACCCTTAAAGGGATAATCCTCACTGCCCAAAAATATAAGGTGTTCCAAGGTGTGAGGTAAGCCATCGTCATCAAAGGCTTCAGTAGCTAAAAGTGGGAATATTTCATAAAAAATTAGGTACATTTGAAATGATAATACATCAAACTTATTAGTTCTAGAACTTTGTCACAATGTGAATCAATGGGAGCCTTCATTTACATTGTGACAACTTTCTTGAAGTTAAAGATTAATTTCAGTACAAATACAGTCAGTTCCTGAAAAATCCTTATCCTTTAGGTTGCTTACTGCATCTACCACCCAATTGATAACAAGACTATAATTGATATGTTCTTATATAGTTAAACATGTCGAATCATGTCACAATTTGAAAAATATAATGCACAACCTAAGCAAAAGTATCCATTGACTACCGGCCCTTCAATTTCAGCTATAACTACGGTCAAACCAGTCTTTTTGGATATATATTCCGACACTGGAATCCTGCCGTAAGCTTGGAGAGCATAAAGAAGTTCAAAATTTTCCATATTCGCACTGGGAGTTTTATCAACCGGTGGCATAATCAAATGTATTGCAAACGATCAGGAGTCAGTAAAGTACCGAGAAAACGACGTTTGGATGAATTCACTTCGTACTTTGTGGTACTTTACTAAACCAACAACCACCTCTTCGATTTCTGAATTTCTATTAAAAAATTAAGCGGCACCTGTGACCGGCAACCGGCGACGTAACTGGAAACAGAGACAACCAACTGGAAACATAGAACAATACATTACAATATAAAGAGAAGACAGAAGTAAAACCAAATAAAAAACAATTACTACGAAGCTACGGAATTTTTATTATACAATTTTTGGGCGAGTGTTAGTAACATTTTGTATATTTTAAAGGCAATGATCAATTTTCTATTAATGTAAATGAGTGCCAAGAATCTACTTAAATCTTTTCAAAAAAAAGGAACAGTGGTTTCATATCAGGACCTTCTTTTGGTACCACTGAATCTCCAAGGACTTTTGGGAATCATCAGGAAGCAAATACAAAAAAAAATAGAACAAGAACTCCACCAGTTCTTGATGAAAAATCTTGGTTTGAGTGAAAATTTGATTTGTGACATTAAATTAGAACAACTTTATTGTTATTTCTATAGTATCAATATGGCATCAAACTTTTAGCTTAAGATACGTTTTCTCACAAAAATACCAAAATATTCTATTCAGTAGTGTTAGAAATATATTCAATTTCTTTTGACGCCGACAACGGTGGTAACACTGTCTTCTGTCACGTCCCATTCTCCCATCTCACTTGTCATGATTTTGATTCGAAACTTTAGGTTCTCTATCTCTATCTAGTTTCTCATGTCAAGAAAGTTTGTCATAGATATCGGTATTTTGTTTGTGTTATACTTGTGACAATTTTGTTAAAAGTATTCAACATCTAACTTAACAGTGTTGTGCAGAGCTAGTGTGAAATACAACAGTGTTCAATTCATCAGTCAAAAAGGTAATTCTTACCTGAAAAAGTGAAAAACTAAACAAGTGCCATATCTGGCCGTGGCTACTATGCCTGTTACTGTCTTATAATAATAAAAAAGATGAAATAATTTCCTTGACTTAAGACGTCAAAAATGTATTGGAATTATTCAGGTTCTTTCACAAATTCGAAAAATGTTGATTGATTGAGTGGAAGGGCAAAAACTGTTCCTTGATCAAAAATTTTGAACTCTTAAAGCAGTTTGTGAAATTTCGATGTGAACTTGGGGCAACGAGAGATTACACATACATAATTAATTTGTGAATCGGAAATAAATTGATGAAGTAATGAAGATTGAATCAGTAACCACGTGGCTATGCTTCCGAACAATCGGACAAGGAAGAATTGTGTTTATTTAATGAAATCATAAAATTCGTCGAAACTTAATTGATTGTTCTGTAAATATTTTATATTCAACATTCTTACTTCGATATTTAGTGATTTGAATACTCTAGTCTGATGAATATTGTATACTTACAGCTATTTCCAATTTGAGGTTAGAATTGAGGTGAAAAAGTTTGTTTACTTTGAATTCTGAAATGTGCACAGTCAGTAGTTGTGAAAACAACTATTTGTATAGTGTCAAAAAATTTAAACCATGGAAACTCGCCAAAAACAACATTTTAACAATGTAAATTGTCAACAATAATTAATTTGCCAAATTTGGACTCCGATTTATGTTTGAATTATATATTGCCCAACTGTATTACATTTTGAAGTTCAATACTGACGTTTTTTTTAATCCAACTCACCATTCAACTAAGAGAAAGTAGAAAAGTGTAAAACTCTCAGAATATAGTGAATGATAAGTTGGTTTTTTGTTAAAATGTTTTTATTGCACTTTCTATAAGTTTATATCTGAAGGCTGGTTTTGTTGACTGTTATTGCACGAAAAGAGTTCCGATAAAAAAAATTTATGATATTATCTGATGTATTTTTTATTTGAGGAAAAACTGGAATGATTTATAGTTGAGCAGATCCGGCTCGAAGGACCAACGTCGGAATTATCATCTTTTTTGTTTTCAATATTCAATTTCTCGTGAATTAATTGCATTCAATCGATATTTCAACTGTCTCATATGTATTTTTATTTCACAGGGCCAAATTTTCTGTGATGAGTAAAACAACCGCCGAAAAAGAGGATTCTGATTACAGTCAGATGACGGCTCAAGAACTCCAAGTGTTGTCAGAACTGGACAGTCGTCAGTACGGGTTTTTGTTGCTGAATCAACCGGAAAATGCAGCCAAAAAGGCGCTAATTCGAAAGGCTGTAAGATACCTTCAAATGATGGTTGTTCAAGCGAGAACCCAGCAAAAGTCCAACGAAAACGAATCTGCGAAAAACATCAGCATTGACCCAAAAACTTGGGTCAAGCTTGGTCATTTCCACTTGTTATTGGAAGAGTACAGAAAGGCCTTGTCGGCGTATCAAATGTTTTACAGAACACAGGCGGAAAACCACTGGCAAGACACTAGCTTCCTCTACGGGTTGGGGCTAGTGTACTTCCACTACAACGCATTCAATTTCGCCATCAAGGCATTTCAACAGCTTCTTTATGTTTCCCCGGGATTTCAAAGAGCTAACGAGGTCAACCTGCGACTGGGGATAATGTTCAAGGTCAAGCAGGAGTATGAATTAGCCCTCAAACATTTACAGTTAGCCTTAGTGGACAACAGCCCCAGCACAGCTTCGAAGAATGTAATGAAATTCCACGTAGCTCACCTGTATGAAGTGCAAGGCAAAGTAAAAATGGCGAAGGAAAAATACGAGGCCCTGCTCAAAGACAAAACCGTCACCCAGTCGTTAAGGGCGGATATTTTCCGTCAGCTAGGCTGGCTGTACCACTGCCAAGAGTCTCTTGGAGAGAAAAGTCAAAGAATACCGCTGGCGATCCACTGCCTTCAAAGGGCCAATGAGGCAGACCAGTTCTCCGGACAGACCCTGTATCTGCTGGGCAGGTGCTACGCGAGTGTAGGCAAAGTCCACGACGCCTTTATTGCTTACAGGAATTCGGTGGAAAAGTCAGAGGGAAATGCTGACACTTGGTGCAGTATCGGCGTGCTCTACCAACAGCAAAACCAGCCTATGGACGCCCTGCAAGCCTACATTTGCGCCGTGCAGCTAGACAAGTGCCATTCTGCTGCCTGGGCGAATTTGGGAATACTGTACGAAAACTCTTTCCAAGCTAGAGATGCCTATGCTTGCTACATGAACTCCAGCCGAGGCTCATCGAACAACAAGAATGTGGAAGACCCCAACACACCGTCAAAGTTACCGAAGATAAATTTCCAGGGCTTGAACCCAAATCTGGCACAGCGAATTAGTTTTCTGAAAACTCACCTGTCGAATGCCCCACTACCGAGCGTCACATCTCAAAGAAGACAATTGCTCTCTATTGAGGAGGCCTGGAACTTACCCATATCAGCGGAGATGTCCTCCAGGCAACAAAGCTCCACTCAGCCTAGTAGAAGTGCTGCTTCGCAGACATTCCAGAAAACCTACCCCGCTGTTGCTCCCCAGGGACCACCACCACCATATCCCTCTCCCAATGAGGCTGTTACAGCAAGGCGGATCAAAACGGAACCCGAACAGAAACCTGTCGTGCCGCAACCTCCATACAACTTGACTCCCCAGCAAATACACTTGCTGAATCAGTTTCAGCAGAACGTGGAATCCTTGAATCCAGCACAGAGGAGCATGATGCAGCACCTGCAGCATCAGTATAGGATGATGCAGCAAAACCAGGATCAGGCAAACGTAGCGAAACGGCTCATCAGATCACCTGTAACTCCGGCTGCCTTCAGTGGTCAATTTCGGAATTTGTCTCCAACGAGTTCCATCAAAACCGAAAAAATGGTGCAGCCTAACCCCGTGGTAGAGCCTAGAAGCTTCATGGCTTCGGCAAATCCTCATCTGGATGAGACATTGGAAGAGGATCTCAAGGATCTGTTTGCGCAGAAAGATTTGGCTACTACTTTTGCTGAAAACTTGCTGAAGCAGTTTGGATCCTCAGATATGGATGTCAAAGAGGGCGCTGTCAGCTCAAACTCTGCGAGTGCTGGCAACCCTGCTATGAGCACGCTGTCTTCAGGACCTTTTTCTCCTTCTAATATTGATCCCAAGTCGAAGATGCAGAGCGACTCGAATGTCTCTAGTACGGGGTAGGAAGTTTGAACAAAATTATTGTGAAGATGAATGAAAAAACAGCATTACAGCTCTGATAAATTGTTGCAATTTGAGGTTAACTCATTAAAAGGATTGTTGAAGTTGAGCTTTTTACCTTTCTTAGGTTATGTTAGGAACCAAGATATTTATAATGTTCTGCAAGGGTGCTGTTTCAACGAATGCATTCTTGGTGAAATTATCAATGATTTAGGAACCTTGAATTGCCTGAATGTATCAATCTAGACTGATCTGGTTTACTCAGAACACATCACATTTGGATTGATGTATAATGGAGGTGGCTCAGTTGTTCCCTAGAAAGGATAATTTTATTGAAAATGTAATTTATTTAGTGATTTGTATTTCAATTGAAAGTATATAGTAATCAATATTGAAAAACTTTATTGCAGTATATTTATTTTTGAAAAATGATGTTCTACTATACTAAATCCTTCTGCAATCTTTTTTTGTAAGTTGTAGGCCCCAGTGAATTTATTAGAAAATATATAAGTTATTTTTGTATAATTGAATGTTCATATTAAGTTAAGCTGTTTTGAAAGTCCTTTTTTCTTTTGTATAATTTGATGTTCATATGAAAGTATTTCGAAAGAGATTTATGCAGGCAAGCGTGGAAACTCAATTATTTGGAATTCTTGGAAATTCATTAACATAAATGCATTAAGAAGCGTCTGTAATTACCGACTGTGGGTATATATGGGTGTACATTGTTGAAAATTTCAGTAGTTACAAATACAAGTGGTATAAAAACATAGAAAGTTTTGATTCTCATTTTTCATGGTCTTCTCTACCAAGTAGTGACGGCTTAATCCATCAATTCATTGAATAACATAACACATTTTATTAATTCTAAGTATAGTAGTAGAAATATATCTGAATATTGACAAATGCACACAGGAAATGGATGATGAAGAAGTGAAAAGTCAAAAATTCATAAAAAAAACTAATTTTCCTCAAATATATAATGATGGCTATCTGCCACATGTACCTACAAAGTTGAAGAGGTGCATATGACATGCCCAAGTTCAGGTGAAAAACACCTTACCCCTTGCCTCTCATGTGAACCTTCGACTTTGTAGGTATGGATATCTAAACACACTTACCTACAAAGTGGAAAAACGAAATTTGAGGTTATAATAGAATATTTTGTGGTAAATTTTTGTGAGAAAAGAAAGCTTCATTGTTTAAAAAACTTTTATTAAAAAACAATAAAATTCTCGCATATTGTACATATGATACTGAAACATCAAATAAATATTTTACAATATGTACATTTATTTCTGAGATGCATTTAATAGTTTACCCTGTTGGTTGTCTCTGCCTGATATTACGAAGTTTATATATACACATATATACTATACCTATACTGAGAAATATTAAAACAATTTCACATCATGTTTGATGTGCAACATGAATATTTGAAATACTTGATGAACAACAAAAACAAGCTTTGTCACAGACATGACTTAATATTTAACTGGGCAATATTTTCATACTATACATGCAGTATATTTTACAAATATTTGAACTTATCACGTCCCCAGATATTTTTGTTATCTATGAGATAACACTATAAAATTAAAACTGCACAGATAGTTTTAAATGGTTTTTGGGTTTTGCCGTGGTCTTCTTGGGTTATGATTTCCAAACGTTTCGACTGCAACGGCGACAGTCATCTTCAGTGACAGTTTCAGTTGATATGTCAGGAAGAGTACTTCGATCACGCCACTGAAGATGGCTGCCGCAGTTGCAGTCGAAACGTTTGGAAATCATAACCAAAGAAGACCACGGCAAAACCCGGAAACCATCCAAAACATTGACGCTAGCCATGAGAGCCTACATCCCTATGTGAATTTTATATTATAATTCGAATCATAATCATCATCTTGTTTTGTTACCTAAATCTTAGTTTTATAGTTGCCTTTTTGTTTTCTAAAAAATTTAGAAATGCTACACATTCTGTTCAAACTAGTCTTTAAGTACTCTTAATTTTCTGGCGATATTCAAAACAAATATTTGTAGAATTTACTCAGTGTTCCGTGCTCTGTGCCAATTTTAATTACACTGTTTCAAACCCATTCAATGTGCATACAATATTTATATGAAGCCATGCCATTATTCAAAACACTAGGTACAATAACTGTTTCCTCATCTTTCAAAAGTTTTGTGAATATTACTGTAGTGTCTGGAATAGATGTCCAATGGAGATCAAGTTTGATTATCAGTTTTTTTCAACATATTTGGTCCGAGAAGAGGTTCCACTTTTATGCAAAAGGTAAGCGAAAGAAATTTTCATATATTTCATAAGGTCACATGTTCACAAAACAATTTGTAGTTGTGTACTGTCAAATGTCAATATGTATATATCTTTGCCACAGAACTATAACTTAAGTTATAGTTCTGTAAGCTTTGCTATTGTGCATTCATGTCAAGGTGAGAACGAGTGTGTTCAGCATAATATGAGCTCAATGGTGTTCTGTGTTCGTAATTTCATAATCATTTGAAGGCTTAATAATCTGGCAACACGTTGAATGAGTAAATCTAAATTTTGCATTTCACGCTACAGTATAAAATTTATTACACGATTAATAGTGATGTGAAATTCTTAGCTTTTTTGTTTAGGTGAATATTATTTACTTTGTCATAGTTACACATGATGAAAGTCAAGAATCTCTTTATTTTCTGAAAAATCAATTTTATTTAGGAAAATATTCAGTCTTAAGGCTGGAGCATATTTTAATTTCCAATTCTATTTGCTCCAGATATCGGACGAAAATCATTTTCAAATATTTAATCTCCTTTCTCTAGAAAACATTCATCTAGGAAATTCTCCAAGGAGTGGTAAAGATGTGGACGGACTAAGCCAAGACTGTGGTCTTCATCGGGGTAGCTCTGAAAAAGTAAAGAGAATTGTAGATTGAGTTTTCTCACTAGATATTCTATTACGGATAATGAAATTTTCTAAAAAATACTTCATAAGAAGAAGTTGAAACCCCTGGCGTAAAATTAATCTATTGAAAATGCAGGAAACAAATAGGAACAGAAAACAAATTTTCTTTCATGAAAACTGGCTTAATATGCTAATCTAAATTATGTGCTCAAGAGACTACTTGTCTGCTCACTTTTTCATTTACTTGATGGAAAAAATGATGTATTCATTTTCTTGCAGACAATATCATTATGTAACTCTCAATTCAATGTTTCAAACCAATATATTTTCAAGATTTTTTACTCAATGAGACATTGCTATTTCCTTAGTATCAATTTCATCAGGAATGTTATTTGATTTGTTATAGAATTCCACTGATATTCATTTAGAATTAGTCCATCACGTAAATTTATCAATAATTTTTCCGACTCTAATTAAGGCTTCATTAAAGTTATTGTGGTAGTATCGGCCAACACAGTAATATGACAGTTTTTAAGGTGTTTTTGAAGATCATTGAAAAATATTACAAAAAGTAAAGGACCCAGGAATGTGCCTTGGGGAACTCCTAATGTGACAACTAGTTCTCTGGACAAGAGAGTTCAAATAACCATATTCAAAATCTTTGACAACTGTGAAAGTAGTTGGTAAAACTGATCTACAAATTATTAGAAAAGTTTCAAAAATGGGTAATAAATGTAAAGTTTATGTTAATAAAATAATACTTGTTTACCATCATGACAAGATAAGACAAGTAAACGTTCAAAATTTTGCTATTTGCAAATTGCTAGTTGAGTAATTACCACATTTTTGGTAATGTTTATTTTTCGTGTTCATGAACCATCGAAATTTTTTTCGTGTATAAGTTGATGTTGGGAGTTTTATGTCCAAAGTTACGAGAGTGGACAGTGGATTCATCACAACAAATACTTACTTCTGTTTCAAAATTAAGAGATGAGGACTGAGGAGAGACTAAAATTGGTCAAGAATGAGGAAAAGGTGAAAAATGACAAGTGACAGAGACTTGTTATTGACAGTTCATTACCAGAAATGTAATTACCTGTTGCCTAAAGAGAATGTCATTCTGTTCGAGTACTTTGGCCCACATCATCGACTGCTGGTAATGGACATTGTCATCATGAGTACCGTGGATCAGGAAGTACTCCTTGTCCCGCAACCCTTCGTACTTTTTGAGAAGCTGGCCCTCTTCATAGCCCTTCAGGTTATCATCTGCCGTCGGGAGACCCATGAACCGTTCAGTGTATACGGAATCTGGAAAGAATCGGACAATTATTCTGTTTTCAAAATAGTTGTGTCAGTACCGTATAAGGCCCAGTCGGTTACTGGAGACACGGAAATTGCGCATTTGAAGACCCCTTCGGTGTCGGTTGCCAGAGCCATTCCAGCTGCGTAGCCTCCATAACTCCATCCCCAAATGGCGGTTCTGGATGAATCGACGTATGGAAGCGATTTCTGGATCAATCTGAACAGAGCAACCAATTACTTCAATTGAAGAATAATCTTAGGTGAAGGAGAGAACAGCATTCTCTAATATCAAAGGTGAAGGATATATTCCAGAAGTTCAAAAATAGGAAACAGTATGACGGCAGGTGAAAAAGGGTCATCGAATGTTATTGACAATTTACCAAATCCAGGTACAGGTATTATCACACCAAACTACCAGGAGCCAATATAAATACGCGTTTACGCTGCCGTAATATCCAGTCATCAGAGATATTAACTCTAGCTTCTGAAGAAGCTAGCAACTCGCGTCAATGAAGCGTCAGGAATCTTTGGAAGTATGCCATATTCATTTTAAAACCATCATTTTCTTAATGAGTTGATTTTGTGGCATAAAAACCAGGCCACCAAACGCGGACTGCGATTCCAAGAATTGCATTTACCGGGTATCCAGCGAGTGCGGATAATCATACATCGGTGAAACTAAGAGGCCATTGAAAGTTCGCATTGCTGAGCACAAGACACCCACACAGCGAGGAGAAACCAGCAAATACGGAAAAGCAGAGCATGTTTGGACTCATCAACATAACATCAAGTGGGCTCAAGCTGAAATCATCCACAAAGAGAAACACTGATTTACGAGAAAATTCAAAGAAGCCGCGTATATTTTGTCCAACAACGCATTTAGTCAAGCTAGCGTAGAGATAAGTAACATATGGAAAACTCTAATCAAGGGAAAAACGACCAATTCCCGCCAAACGGTCATCTCCCGTTAAAAACCAATGAAGCGGAAAAAGTCAAGATGGGGGTAGGTGAAAGCACTCGAGCGACCTATAAATAGTCAAATCTCGGAGGAATAAGTCCAGTTATCATCCGAAGACGATTGTGGATACTAACAATCGAAACGTCGTGACATAACTTGGTTTGAAATCTTTTAATTTTTCATTTCTTGTTAATAATAATTTTTAATTTTCATTTTTCAGCTTTTATTAATATTTCATTTTTTTATTTGTTTGGTTGTTGCTTGTATGTTATTTCTTTGTAATTTCAGTTTTTTGTTTAATAAAATTGTTATTTTCGGTTAATCTCATTAATTTTCTAATTGTTTTTTTCAGGGTTTTCAAATCAATTTACATTATATTAGTGGAAGTCTGAACTGATGAAATACAGTCCTTTCTCTTACTGAGTCCCTTGTAGTCATGATACGAAAGACTTTTTGATGAATACAGAAGAAGTTGATTTAATTTGTAACTCTTATCAATTTTCATCCACTTATTACTCCACTCCATCAAGTCTCATTCATATAAGAAATAAAAAACTCCAGTCCTACACACTCTACTAACTATTAGTCTTAAGATACATCTGCTTGCAAATTAAGATATTAAATAACTAACATTCAGACTAGTATTTTGTAAATTTCATATCTTCACATGGAAACGAAAGTTTGAAGTCAGGATAGAAAAACGGTCTACGCACCTTGTGACGTTGATTTGGTCCACAATTTCGACTGTTCCCAGTTTTCTGTAGCCTGCGAACATAGTCCTGTCACCTTTCAAACCAGAACCCCTACCATCTATAGCGGCATATATTATACTTTTATTCGCAGCAAGGTAGCTACCCCAATCTAGAACAAACTTGTCGATGACCTGGTAAGTGTCCGGACCACCATAGCTGCAAAAAAACCTCCATCAGTTGGAAAAAGACAGACAAAATAATGAGTATATGGACAAGATTTTTCGAATTATCATTCGTGAAGAAAAAATGTCGTGAATTCCCCAAGGGTCCATTTTCGACCCACAATGCATGCGGTGTATATTTTTATAAATCCACGGAATGCACTCACACGTTAACGAGCATGGGGTATTTGGTCTGTCCGCTCGTGTCCATATTCGGTGGCAACCTCAACAAAACTTTGGCCTTCAATCCATCAGCTATGTCGAACGTCATTTTTTTCAAACTAGCCGTCTGCCTCTCTTTCAAGTAATTTGCTAGTTCTTCGTTGTTGCTCCATTGCATTACTTCGTTGCCGTTTTTGGAAAAAACTTTCACCTGCGGCACGTCTGGGCCTGCGCAGGTCAGAACGTAATACGAAGAGTTTTTGCTGAATTCGGCAGTGTTGTACGAACAGGCAGTGGTTGAGTTGTGCTCAGATTTCAAGTCGCAGGTGAAGCAAGTTACGTTTTTCGTTTCTGCAGAAACTGCGTAGAGGTGCTGGACGGTCCAGTCTGACTCTGTGTTCGCTAAATAGTATCTGGAAAATAATAAAAAAGGCTTAATAATGATATTCTGATTACCAACGTTTATGTAAATGATGTTTCCCCGTACCACAAGGCACGTATATATAGTGTTTTATCTGAACCTATTTAAATTTGGCGCTGTTCTGATCGAAAATTATCATCAATGCTTGAGCATTTGGCAACAGTGTGCAAAAGCCATGCGCCAGATTCGTTTTGGCGGCAGTGGACTAGTCATTCGATATTTGTGTCATAAAAGTTTTTATGAACTGATTAGAAGTTGCCTCCTAATTGATTGTTATTTGAAATTAAGGTAAGTCTCAATACGTATTATGTTTTTTGTTGGCTTAATAAGTATATGCTATATTAGGGTGTCGTTGAAAGAAAGCTACTAAAATATGAGTCAGGAAAAGGATCTTCCTGTATTTGTGTCTGGGATGGCATACTAGTCGTATGGACGAGATGACAGGGTATGCCTTCTCATACAAGTATGTATGCCATCTCATATTTATTTTGTTAATTTGATGGCTTCTTTCCAAACATAGTTAATGATTGTTTGAAGGTGATTGACAATGTTTCATGATGAATTTCACTAGTTCGGACTTCCATTGTCTACTATATAAAATGATTTGAAATCCCTGAAACAACTAAAATAAAGTTGTGTTTTAATAAACAAGTGTCTTAGTTGTTCATTTCACTCCTTACCAATTCTGTAACTTCGTGGTGCTACTAGAAATTAAGTATGGAAAAATGTCCATCTCATGCAGACCTACGACAGATACCCAACGGAAAAACAACAACTCACCCATCTAATGCCGCGCAGATAGTTGAAGTAAAACCATCAGGCACCTGTACAACGTTTTCGACTTGGAAGATCCGTCGCAAGTTATTTCCCACTATGAAAAGCAGAAATTAATTTCGTTTGGTCGATTCGACCAACCGATAGATCAGTTTCGGAGTGTTTGCCCCATCATCAGAACGGTGTCAACCGTCTGAGTGTCACGACCAAACAAATATAATTCCAGCTAGTCATGGAATCTCTCTGCAGTTGATTCAGTGGGATATTTATTGCGCCACCTGCAGACAGATCCAGGAAACAACTCCATAAGCATACTCCGAAGTCGGAGTATGCTTGTGCTCACGGTTGCCCCTTTCTTCTCAGTTTTTTATTAAGTGGAATCAATGTCTTTAAGACAGAAAAAAATTATTGAATATCCATGAATCTTCAAGTTACGTATTGTTTACAAACTTTAATGAAAATAAAATCAAAATCTAATTGTGACTCACATTAAATTTTCTTCATGGTCCCAAGCTAAAATGCTCGTTACAACAAATTTTCCTTTCGTGAGTGGCTGGTCCTGAGCATTTTCCACTACATTCAACATAACTACGTGTCTGTACCCAGAATTTCCACCTTGGTCCTGGGAAAGGATCATGACCAACTTGGATCCGTCCTTGGAGAATATTGGAGGCGTGAATAACTCTAGCCAACCGTCAGAAGCTACCAAATTTTTTATCTGGAAGTAACCAAAATGTTTGAAAATGCGTTTGGAGTGTTTTATAGCCACAAAAACACATGACATTAAGACTGACAAAACTTTTGAAATAACCAATATTATCAAAAGCATTTCCGATGCCTTTGAAGCTGTAGAAACACTTTTAGTTTCTTCGAATGCGTACAACAATTTAAGAGGAGGAAAATGATGGATTTTGTTCTTTGAGAACTAGAGAGCGGAAGACAAGTTTGAGAAAAAGCCCTATTAAACAATTGCCCAGGATCATGAATTGCGGAAGTTTCTGGAAAACTCTAAGGTACTCCCTGGTCGTAAAAATGACATTCCAGAAGAATTGACAAACGCTGGTGAATTTAATTATTTTTTATAAAGTCGATTCCTGACATCTGATCAATTTTCATTAATCTAATTGCTGTATTGGGTCTAAACTTGGGTTTAGATTTATTTGTACTTATGTAAAAATAAAATTTTGAATCACATTAACCACATTCATTTATGACTTTACAGAATTGAAATTATAATAAAAGCTTGTCGCGATGCCTGACATATTCAGTCAGATGAGCAACATGCTTTTGAAGTGTTGAATGAAGAAGCTGAGCAGGAAAACCTGGAGGATGAGTTGGAGATGCCATGATATAATGATATCATGTGATAGAAATTATATGGCCCTGTTTCCGGAGAGCACAAATGTATGACACGGACATTCCATCAGTCCGTATCGACTTCGGCAAAGATGGGATCCACGTTATTCAACATGATGGGTTTAATATGCGGTCGAAAAAAATGGCGTGTGAACACATTGTGCCTCATTTCACCCACGTTGCGAATTTCTGGAGACTTGGAGAAATCAGCATATTATCAAAGATTTTTAAAATGGTAGAATATGCTATATAAATGAATACTTGAACCAGCTGTCTTTGACAAAGTCTGGATTTCGTAATAAGTACAGTTATACCACTGATCTGTTCCACATTGTAGATAACATAAAAGCTACCAAGCAAGGCTATCTTCTTGAAAATTTATGAATAATTGAGTACTAAACCTGGTGTACCTCAAAGCTCCATTTTAGGTCCATCATTGTTGAGTATTAAAAACTACATTGTATTTATACTAACTTACTATTGTAGAAGAAACAGAATCTTGAGATGTATCATAAGCTACTATCGAAGCTCGATTTTGAACTCTGTTCATCCAAATGGCCGTCAAAATATCATTTGTAGCCCATTCTACTGCAGATAAGATCTCCTCCCTGAAAATGAACATGATATAATTTTATCTGGCTGAAGTTATCCTTTACTTACCCTTTAACATTATTTGGCACTTCGAGGTAAAATTCTCTCTCAGGTTTGGCGAGGTCAACGAAGTGAAAACTGACCGTTGGGTTTTTGGCACCACACTGAAAAGTGCAAATGGTGTTAGTGAAGCATTCTCTACATTTATTCTGTATATTACAAGAGGGATGCTTAGGTAAATATTAGGTTTCTGCAATAACCGGAACATTTTCAACTACGATTACTTTTGAAAAAATATTTTTTTGTAACACATCGTCGTGGGGACCCTTGTCAGCTGAGATAAGAGAACCCAAAAAAACTAGATAAACGGTTTTTTGCTAAGTCATCACAGGAATCACCGAAAGGACTGCAATAAAATAATAATTACTCGTTGCAGGTAGACACGACACGTAGTTTATAACCAATATCTAACGAATCAAATAAGAACTGGTAATACGTTCAGCGGTGTTTACTTTGAGCTAACGTTGGAAACAAATAAAGTATAATTTTGATGTGTTACCTTTGGATATTTGATGACATTCGCCCTGGGATATTGGGATGACAGTTTACCTGGCTCCCCGTATACAGGTATTATCATTAGTGGGACTTCTGTGTCATTGAATCTTCCGTATGCTAGTTTTCTACCATCGGGTGAAAACCACAATGCCTTGTTGGAACTGAACACTTCCTCTGAAAACATCAATTGTAGTATTGTAGACTCTGCATCAGAATAAATAAATCAGCAGTAGCAAAGCATCTCTCATAGAAGGGACCTAAGGGCTCCATTGAACTCAGATCTACTATTCAGAACTTCATAGGGAGGCCGCAGAAATAGAAACACTTTCAATGGAAAGTAAAATAGAAAAAAAGTCTTTCTTATTAGTCAGTGGGCTATGCTTCAAAACTGGCAGTTAACAAATCTAAAGCAAATGAACTTCAGACGTTCAAGCCAGTCTCGATATACCTACACAGTAGGTG